TGTAGTGATGAAAGAAAAGAATAATAAAAAATGTCGGGTTGGCATAAGGCATAATATTCAGTAGATGTAAATATAATTAACTTTTATATTCATTAAAGTTAATTAAACTTAATTGTAACTTTATATATTCAGTATGCATAGAATAATTTATAATATTTAGGTAATTAAAGTATTGCATTAATACCCAAATTTTCCTCCTTGTTTTTATCAAAGCAAAATTGACAATATTTTTTTTTTTTTCAAAATCTACTTGATTATTTAATTTATGTAATTATGGAAAACAGTAATATTTTTTATATATGCTTGAACTAAACTGTATTCCTGAATTATCTTTAGAAAATCTGAATTCTGCTTTAGCAATCATAGTTATTGAAATAGTTTGGTATTTAAGTTCTTTCTGATGGATATGTGGATGAAATGTTTCTTATAGATTTACATCATTTAGATATTTAAATGTTAAGTTAGAAACTGGTCTGAACATCCCTTTCCTTAGGCAGATAGCCATTGTGTGCTTTCCCAGATTCTATCTAATACCTAAATTGAAATACCTAAATCCAGTGGCATTAATTTTTCACTAGTTAAAAACACAGAATAGGAAGTAATCTCATATATTTTTTACATCTTCATTTTAATTGTGAGATTAAAATATTTTTCAATTCTTTTATTTCTACAATGAACAAATTTTGAAAATTCGTTTGCTTATCAATTGTTTTTTGACAATCTGATTTTAACTTCAGTTTATGTTCTGTTAAGCTAGATTTTAATATTTCTGAAGAATATTTTTTCTTGTTTTTCATAAGGAATGGGATAATCCTTCTTTCAAGTTTATTTGTTCTAATCATTATGGCAAACGTCTAAGGGCTTTTTACCTAGGGAAAGGGTTGCCTTTTTGAAGGATTTTCCAAGGAAAACATGCTTGGATTTACGTTTTATGTTAGGAAAGCAACAAAAGCATCCATGCAGCCAATCCATTAGCTGGCATTTAAATTTTTTTTTATTGCAAGCCTATATTTACTTTTTCTTGCAGTAATAAATTCCATGAAGATGTATATAAAATATTAAATTTAATTGCTTAAATAGATGTATTAGTTTCAACCTATCGTAATGATTTATCATTCGATGCTTTACAGAAGTGTGAATTTTATAAAAATACTGAATAATATTAATATTAATAATGAGATGAATATTGTTAAAATACTTGATAATGATCTTTTTATTCCATTTTAAATATAGAATCATTAATAATTAAGTTTTTAATTTGATTTAAAGAAACTCCCAGAAGTTGTGTAAGTGTTCAAGAATATAGTGCCTTTTTCCTTGATTTAAATTTTTCATTTTAAAATGGTGCTTTTCAAAATGTTTCAGAATTGAAAGTTAACTGTCATAATTTATTTTTAAAACACATTTAAAAAAATTCACACCTAATTTGATGCTATTTCTAGTTGTTCGCCTCTTGCTCCATCTCTCTCTGTTACTTGTAGCTCTTTATTTGTGTTTTTAAATAAAGAGTAATCTATTCCTTTCAAACTTCTGATAACACGATTGGTATAAAATTGAGCTTATTATTTAAGTTTTTTTTTATATACTGTTTTGTAACTTGTATCTGTCAATTATGTAATTAAATAAAAAGCGATTTTTTTTTTCCTTCAAACTTTCATGTAAAAACAGGTACAAGTTTGGCAGATGTCTGCCAATTTTGAAGTAATGTAAATGCCAGTTCTTTTATCAGTCCAGTGTAATTTTCAGCTCAATTTTATTTCGAAGTGTCATAATAGACACACTTATTGGATATTGTATTGTTATAAATTTCTTTTACAGAATAAATAGTTTTTTTCTTGATCTGATGTACTTTTTGAAAAATTTTTCCTTCTTTAAATGATTTGAATGTGTGTTTCCTACATGTATTTTTTCTTTTATTTCCTTTTTGTAATGTTTATTGTTATTTCATTATAGAATGCATTATATAATTTGGTTATTCCTTCTAAATTTGTTTTTGTTTGAATATTTATAGTCAGGGAAACTATTCATTTTGTTTTCACTAGTTTGGTCATGGAAATTGAGAAAATTAAAAATTGAACTTCAGTGGGACTCTTGTGTTATTGATTTTATTTGTAATTTGTATTGAATCTGTGAATAATAATATATATCTGCTTTTAAATTTCAAGCCTTACTTTTGTTTGTTTCAATATATCAAATTTAAAAGAATATATTCTCTAGAAAGAAAAATTAGTTTTTAATGAAATTGTCATTTTGAATTAGTAGAAATATTCTTTCTGTACAACTATAAAAATTTACACCTAAGAAGAATTGGTACTCCTAGAAGACTCCTAGAAGTGTTGGTACTTTCTGATTATCCATGTTCTGAAAAGTCACAAACTAGTTACCAACTTTGGAAAACATTCATGAACTCTTTGGCAAGAAAAGTTTTTGTGTATTGGGCATTTTTACATGTATTTCAACAATGCATCCAGTGCTGTCTTTTTTTAATACATTTATCAAGGGGAAAAACACTTACTTATTTTGAGAAATCATTCTGCAGCTTTTTTTGTGCTGTTGGTCTTCTCATGTGCAGAGTGAAATGTTTTCACTAAAAAAAGCCATCAGAGAAACACCCCCAACAAAATATTTCAGCATAATAAAACTCCTTAGTTCCTATATGTTATAAGGATTCATGGTACTATTCGGGTTTGAGGGCCGTAAAAAATCGCCAAACTATTGTTGATGCCAGTGCTGCCAAAAATAATTGTGGCAACCCTAACGCAAGAAAGGAAGTATAATAGTAAGTATCTATTTAAGATTGATGTTCTAATTTAGGGGAAATGTTAATTTCATATAATACGTTTTTATTATTATAATTTATATAAAAAAAGGCTAAACATGACTGAATGGAAGCATAAGAGTAAAAAAACTATTTCAGATCATTTTTACAATTTATATAAAAGTTGCTAAACATAACTGAATGGATGCCTGCATCGCTATTTCGCTACCGAGTTATCGCTAAAGCATAATTTCATCTCATTGGTTGTTCAAACATAATTTTCTATAATGAACGATGCCTTTTCTATGAAAAAATTCTCGGTAAAGTGCAGAATCGCCCACTTATTTGTTTGCCGCTTTTTACAAGGGTAAAAACAATTGGATTTTTGTCAATTTCCTTTTACTTTTTAAGTGAAAATAGGTCGATGTGTACATAGATAAAGTCAAGGGTGTGCATAGTGCAATTTTTGTGCAATTCTGGGATTTTTTTACGTGAAAATTGGTTCATGTGTGCATGGATACCGAGTATGTGCAATTCTTAAAAACGCGTCAAGCAGTGGGTGATTCTACACTTTACTCAAAATTCTATTGCAGACTTCGTCATGGGCAATTCCCAAATTGTTAAATCCATAGGATATCAAAAAAAGGATTTAAAAATTAAACTAGTATTTCAATGGCGTCTTAAGAAATATAGAACTATATAAACTCATATAAAACTTACGCAATCTGAAATCAGCGCGTACGCTAGATTTGGTGCGCTGTTAAATGGGCACGTACGCTAGATTTGGCGTTTTTGCGCATACGTTTTCGCTGCAGTTTTTTTTACAGTCCTCAAAACGGAATAGTACCTTACATTTAATCAGTCAAGTCAAATTCATTATTTTCGATTTAAGCCATAAATACTGGCTGTTCTGTAAGCACGAGCAATGCCTTCTATTAAACTTTTATTTGATTTTAAATAAAAGGGTGTTTTACACTTTTTCTCAGGCTCTGTGGTACTTTACAAGACATAGTGGTAATTCACTTAGGTGGTAAAGGTTAGGTTTCACTTTGGTTAACTCTTGTCTGTGCTACCAAAGAACACAAGACTCCGCAGCGTTTCTTTATGACAAAAACAAATGTCCTTTATGCAAAAGGAAATACTGAGAAATATGACCATATAATTTCAAACGTGTGCTACATGCATTGTGGTTTGCTATAAGAATGCATTTTTGGTTGCATTGTGAGTTGCCACATAAGTATTTCTTGATGGGTTGGTATGTTGCCTCATCAGTACTTTTTCACTGTGGGTAATTAAATTACTCTCATCAGTGCAGATAATTAGAAAGTATTGCACTGTTACTCATTGTGGTTTAAAATCTTTCCAAAGCATTTAATGTCAAGTTGAGAATACAGATCTGTCAGTAATTGCTTTTACTGATGTTGGGATAGAGGTTTTATCCCAAGTCCCTTGTTGTAATTTCATTGATTGTTGATTATTGATTATTTCATTGATTAAAGACCTACCCATCAATGCTGAAGAACATAGAGACTAGCAGACAACAGTTTTTGAAAGAGAATGAAGTGAGCATTATAGATTATAGATTTTGGGGCTTCATCTGGGTATCAAAGAAATGTAATCATGATTTTTCAGTTAAATGATTAAAATGTCCATTCCCCCCTTCCCCCATTATTGAAAATACATTTTGTATGTGGTGGTAAAAATGCTCCATCGAGTTCAGCATATGGAGAATCAATTTGGCAAATATTCCAGTTCTCAAAACATTTGCCATGTACAGCATAATCCTAAGAATCATTCAAACTTTATCATTATTCAGGCCAAATGCAGTTGTTGAAATGTATGGTTACTGATATTTTTTTGCATTTTGCTGTTTTTCTCATCACTTTAGTTTATCACTAAATAGCTTATACAGCGGAAGAAAATTTCCCGACTCTGCTGTAGAAAAGCATTGAAAAATTATATTGTATGATTTCAGGATCCATTAGAAAGGTGCTGATACAAGTTTTGCTTGTTTGTATATTTAGCACAGTGTCATCCTTTCACCTTTATACTGTATCTTTCTTTACCTTGTATTGTGTATGCCCCCCCCCAAAAGTTTTTGCCTCGATTCTAAATTATTTATTCTAAAATAGTGAGTCTTATGAAACTATTACTTTTTATCTACGTAGTTTGTGATTTGATTTTATACTTATATCTTTTGTGAATAATTAAAAAAAAATACAAATAAATCTGTTTTTGTTAGTGTGGAAGTGATTTTGAGAGCTGAAGCAGTTGAAATGGCTCAACCTGGTGATCGAGTTGATTTCATTGGTACCTTAATTGTTGTCCCAGATGTTAGTCAATTATCTATTCCAGGTTTGTAAATTGGTTAAAATGTTTTCTCCCATTTTGATTACATTTGTTTTTCATAATTTTATCCCAATTATTAATAAATATTTAAAGGAATTCGCACAGAATCTAGTGCACGACATAAAGGGATGGAAGGATTTGAAACAGAAGGTGTTAGAGGTCTCAAAGCTTTAGGTGTTAGAGAACTATCATACAAGACAGCCTTTCTTGCTACAACTGTTATACCAACTGATTATAGAGTAAGTTGGTTATTTATAATATAACTTTTTTTAAAAAAATAATATAGTTACATTAGTGCTATATCAACAAATCTGACTTAAGTACCAGGACAATGTATGAAGATTTATATTATTTTATATTATTGGTTCATAATGATTTGAATAGATCAGATAAAGAGAAAACTTTGAACTTTTATTATGTTCCCAGCAGCGAGTTTATATTAAATCTTACAAAAATGTCTGATATAAAACAAATCGAAAGTTAAAAGTCTGAAAAGTTATGTATAAATATTCTATAGAGATATGCATAGATATTCTATAGAGATTTCACGGATTCTATAAAAATGTGTAGTTTCCAAAGGTCCTACACATAAAATCTTATATAATGCATATAGAATCAGTTTACAGAATTCTGCTGAAAGTATCAGATCCAGTTTATTGGAAACAAACCCATGATTTTTAGAATTCTGAACAAGTTTAGAACAATATTTAGAACATAAACATAATTTCTTGTGGTAACAAAATCAACCACAGCTTGTGGTAATGCAAATGAACGAACGAAAAAATTTTAATTAAATGTGCAATAGTAGTCAAAAATTAAACAATTTAACCAGCAGATCAGATTCAAATGTTGGCAGCAGTAATGCAAAGCTCGCTAATTGCAAATTATCAGAGCTAGCAAGAACTAACATAGCTTGCCCACACAGACCAGAAACACTTTCTGTCTTATAATCTAAAAATCTCAATTTAAATACTTGCTAACTGATTTACACTGTGGTGAGGAAACAGAAAGGAAAAGTTGTAGTAAAGGCTCAAATTATAATTAACTGTTTGATTTAAATAATAACCTTATAAATGTTTTTACACAAAACATGTACAATGAAGTTTTTGTTTAATTTTATGATTTTTTTTTGTTAACTGTACTGCTCATTATTGTGCAAAGTCTTGGTTATAATCTAAAATAAAAATAAATTAAAAAAAAATGGTTCACCTTCATTTAATCTTTCTTTAATGCTATTTATTTATAATTTCCTTTCATTTAATTTTAACATTAAGTTTTAAAATGTCTATAAAACTTAATTCTTCCATTCTCATTCTCATGCAATTCATGTAGTAGTGAGTTTCACGTGTTCCCTTATTTGATTAATTAAAGAAACGGATGCTTATTAGCATCATGATAGGGAATAAGTCTATAATATCGCATTATTTTAGAAGAGGTAGTTCTTTCTGTAAGCATATCCAATGTTCAATCTCATGATTACATGTGGGCGTCTCTCCAGTTTGACTGAAGTTTATACAGAATCTCTTGATGATACGTGAAATGGAGTTCCTCATCCAGAATTGGTCTCCTTTCATTGCTTTGGCATTGTATCTTGTCTTCTGTCACATAGTTAATATTCATTCTGTCAAACTAATAAATATTGTGTAAATGTGCCAGGTTGTTTAAGTACTTGTAGGGGCAAAGATAGATATCCAGCATTCATTTGAAGAAAGGTGGATAAAAATCATGGCTAATATTGTTTGAGATGTTGCAAGTCCAGTATTCTCATGAGCTTTATTTCTGTAATGCTAGCTGAAACGAAAACAGTTTTATCCCAGGCTTATGAATTCAGAATACAAATAATGTGAGATAATGTAGAATTGTTTGATAGAATTTTTTACCATGCCATCTGACTGTAGGTGTCTGAAACTGAGTCTTCATACCAAGAATTTTAAATAATCATTTTAATTCAGCAGAAATGAAATTTGAAACCCTAGTTTGAATGGATTAAGTTGGGATTCATGAAATTAGGGAATCTATTTCTCTATACAAACTTCTGCAGTCTTGCTTGGCCAGAAGTGTGACAAGCTTTTTGATCACTCAGGATGCTATCACACTTTGGATGAAATCTATTTCATAAAGTTTTTGGACCAGCTTTAGCACTGCTATGAAGACTCGTGATTTTTTTCCTCCCTTCTGCAAAGTTGTAGATTGTATGTTTTCACCCAATCAATATCAAACTAAAGAACTTGAATCGGTTTTCTTTGTTGGTTTGTTGTATAGAATGTGTTTACCCTTTACATGGTAACCTCAAAGTGAACCGTGGGGAATGGCCGTTTTATATTATATGACAAAACAGAAAAATTACATTTAACAGTTATTCTTCAAAAAGTTTTTGAATGGGATTTCGTCTTTAATGAAATAGGTCACTGCAGTTAAGATGAATTTTTTCAAGGTTTGGTGCTTTTTAAATACTTCTTCCCAAGAACAAATGTGTGATGTTTAACTTATCATATGCTGAGTTATCTGTATTTAAGAGTCTGTTATAAGCTCAAGGTATCATCTGAAATCTATCTATCTTCTCTCTGCATTAGATGTCTAAAATCTAATTCATGTAATTTAATTAAAAAAATTAATTGTCATATTATCATTCTCTTTCCACCTGATTGAGAAAAAATGATTTTCCCGGGATGTCTGAAAGAATTTGTGTAAACCAGCTAAATTTCTCTAGCTATTTGATATCTGTTAACTTTTTGAAGAGTTTCATTTATCATAGAGTTTGTTATGCTATCCTAAATAGTAATTTGCACTTTAAAAATTTGAACAGCTTCATTATGCTTCTTTTGCTGAGTAATCAGAGTTTGAATCAGAAGATTTTCAGGTTGAATGAAGATCCTTTAATGACTTCCAAGGTAGAAGTGTAATAGTTTAAATCAAATTTTAATCTGCCTTTCTATACAAACTAGGCTTTTTTGCCCATTTTATCCTTTGTGTATTAGCTACTTTAGTTCTGTGGTAAAAACAAAATATCAAGCAAGATTAGTTTTGATGTGTGTCTCTTTCCTTCAAAACAATTCAAACCTCTTAGTGTAGCATGGAAGTGATTTAGTCCTATAACTTATTTATAAATACCGTAATTTCCGGAAGAAAGGCCGCATCAGCATAAATGCCGCACTCGAGAAAAATGGCGGGAAAAAAATTAAAATTGCACAGAAATGCCGCAATAGATTAAATTGCGTGTGACATCGTCGTGGACCGTATAGATGCAAAAGCTCAACCTAAGTCCTGATATATGACATACCAGTTAAGAAAAATGCATGAAATGAAACCATAACTCAAAAATAAATTAAAGGTAAGAAATGTATAGCTTCTGTGCCGTTCCTTCTGTGAGACATTTTCAAAAATTTTCCGCTCCCTAATTAAAAACTATCCAACAAGTACTTGTACCCTAACTGATGGGATTTGTATTTGGTAGAATGCTAAGAAAAATCCATTCATGCTGAAGGGGAAATACGTCAGAGTTCGTTATTGCGAGGCAGGTGGAGTCGTGTCTGCCTTTGAAAAAAATTGCAGAAAAGGCAGGGGTGGAAAGAGGATGGGTCCTGGAAGATTCATCGAATAGCAGAGACGAGAGACTATTCAAACTGATGAGAATGTTGATTTGAAAGTGGGAAGAATGTTATTGTTCTGAGATCTCGTTTAGGGTGAATAAGGCATGTAGGTCCGTTCAAGGGAAAGAACGTAAACAAAATAACGTTTGCAAAAAGCAACCGAGTGGTCTTTTGTGTGGGAACAGCACCACTCTAGTGGTCTACATACAATGACAAGGCCATCCAAACTATGTACAAAGTTATTCAAACTATGCACAATGACCATCATAGGAAATATTTTATTTTTAGTGCACCTAAATGCCGCATGGGTAGAAACACCGCACCCGCTGAAAATTTAAGTTTTAAACGTAAACGCCGTGGCGTTTCTTCCGGAAATTATGGTATGTGTCGTGTGGAAACCAGATTTACAAAACAAAATTTTATTTCCATGTAAACCATCAACCAACTTATCACCCCTGTTGTATTCTCAAGTGATCTAACTATCACTCAGATGAAGATATGAAATTAACCTTTTTTATTGTAACTTAACAAATGCACAGCTAATGCCTTACAAAAAAAGTCTCTGTCACATGTGGAGTTTAAATTAACATAAAATATTAGAGCAGCAATTAAGTAATTAATGTTGGAAGCAAAGTCCTTGTTACGGAGGTTTGATTATGAAATAATGGACTGCAGTTTAAAAAAGGAATTTATTATCAATGCACAGTTTGCATCGGACAAAAGTTTTGCACTCCGCTAGTTGCTGGAGCTTGAGCAAAGATGCTGTTGCTCCCCGCTAGAGAGTGCACCTAGTTATTAGTGGTGGCGCTACAATATACATTACGTAACAGCCTCCCGTATTGAAATTTTGAAAATTTCAAAATACATATAGTGACATATGAACATATAAAACAAAAAATATATGAGATTAATACAAAGCATATTACAGAAATAACAATTAGAGAAATATTACATAAATTGAAAAAGTCTCTTAAGATATATATCAGATTTATAATTATCATAACAAGACTAATTATCATTTATGGGTAACAAACAAATTTGAAAAATATACATGAACATTTTCCTCTTCTTGAGAAGAAACGTTTTAATGTTGCTATAAGAGCCTTTGTTATATCAGTGATAAGCTCTAAATGGATTGCCTTGGTGGCAAAACATGTGAATATTGCTACATATACCTTTTGAGATGCTCCTTTACGATTTCCCTTATAAGAAAAGGACCTCAGAACTCAATTCCACAGTTAAAAAAAAGGTTGGGCTTGGATTGACTCGCTCCATTGGTAAATTTCCCATTAACTGATTTGAATTGATTGGTTTGTTTTTGAAACAAATCACACAAGCATTTATAATCTTTCTAGCCGGATGGGCCAAATTTCTTGTCTGGCAAAATGCAAAAGTGACTGTTGTTGACCCACATGCAAGTTTTTCTTATGAAAATATTCTATAATAAATTCAGTGAACCTATGCCTAGCCGGTAATAGCTTTGGGTGTTTTGAATCCCTGGTTAATTGTGAATTTTGTAATCGACCTCCAACTCTAAGAAGTTCATTTTGATCTAAAAAAGGATTTTAATTTCTTACCTGACTCAACTTCAAGTGCTTGTTATATTTTAAACAATTAATTTCATGGCTAAAAGTTGCATGTTGAACTAATTTAACTAAATGATTAGATGCACTAATTACTTCTTCTGTTGTTTACTTACCTACTTGCCGATTCTTAGGACATTTGATATTATTTACAAATCTGCAAATATAACTAAAATCATGTAAAAGTTTAGTAAAACTGTTACTAATATTTAAAAAATCATTGATGAAGTTATTAGTAGTGTTAGAAATTAAAACAGGATTATAATTAGTCTTTAGTTCATTAGAATAATCATTATCAGTTATGTTAATATGTTCCTTAGAAGATGGAATGTTCGAGTTTAAAAATAAAGGGCCTGTTCACCACATAGAGCTCTGCAGAAGATTGGTCGCACTGGTTCCTCTAGATAAGAAGTCAGCAGGATTGCTTTCAGAAGAAACATGTCTCCGATCATAGTCAGGACATAGCTCGTTGATTAGTTTAACTCGGTTGGACACAAAGGGTTTAAGTCTTTCATGAGGAGTTTTTATCCATGCCAACGTTATCAGAGAGTCCGACCACAGGTACACATGATGAAACTCGAATAATGGTGATGACCTTTGAAGTTAGTTGAGCTAGTAGCAACGCTGCACATAATTCTATGCTGGGTATTGTTAAGGTTTTTATCGGAGATACTCTAGATTTGGAACATAACAATGTTGTTTGCCACTGTCCTTGGCTATTTTTTTAGCTTATGTAGATTGCTGCACCATAGGCACGTTCCAATGCATCGCTGAATCCATATAATTCAATCATTATGGGATTAGTTATTATCACATGCCTAGGAACCTTTACTTGATTTAAAGTGGGAAGTTGGGTTAAGAAATTTAACCATTCCTTCATATTATTGGTAGGAACTGGATCAGACCATTTTAATTTTTGTCTCCACAGATTTTGTAGAAATATCTTTGCCCTTGTAATCACTGGACCAATTAGTCTGAGAGGATCAAACAGGCTTGTTTTGGTAGGTAGAACATCTCTTTTTGTGAAACTTGCCTTTGATCCTATATTAACCTTAAAAGTTAAATTATCGGAATTACATGCCCAAAGCATGTCGAGAGTTTTCACAAGATGGGAATCTGAGAAAGTTTCAGTAGCCTTGTTGTCGTTTAACAAGTCTGGATGGTTTGAAACCCATATATGTAACTGCATGCTGCCCTTGTTCAATAGATTTATTAATTCAACTTGCAAAGAAATTGTGTCTTCTAAATTTTCTAAACCTGATAAAATATCATCCACGTAGATGTTGGTAAGTAAAACTGCGAAAGCATGGGGAAAACACCCTTGCTCCTCCTCGGTATGTAATTGTTCTCAGTCTGTAAGTTTCAACAGGTGAGCACGAACTTGATTTCCACAAAATTCTCTGTAGTTCTCTATCAGTTTCTTCAAAAAGAATTTGCCTGCACATTTTAGTAATGTCTGTGCTAAATACATATGTATGTGTTCAAAAACAAGTTACTATTGAGAATAGATCTTGCTGCCCAGTTTCACCATTGAGTAATAAGGAGTTAAGACTTACTCCATTTGTGCACTTAGCTGATGCATCAAACACAACACGGAGAGGGGTAGAAATGCTTTCTGGCCAGAATGATGTGGGATGTAACAGTTTTCACTACGGTTCTTGCAATTTGAAGTAGCCTTTTCCATATGATTTAATGCAAGATATTCATCCATGAATGCTGTATATAAAGAGGATATAGTTTGATTTTTGTCCAATTTATTCCAGAACAAATTTAGACGTCTTTCTGCCACTGATTTAGATTCTCCTAAACTAGAACGTTTGCCTTCCTTAATGGGTAATCTAACAATAAATCTTTCAGTGTCATAGTGCTTGTGAGTGGCCATAAAAAGTTGCTCACAATATTCTCTTTCAAATGTTTGAGAATCGTCAGTTGTATCATCTCCTGGAAAGGATTCAACTTCAAAGAATTTTTTGATGGAATGTTCTAAAGAATTCTCTTGAGAAATACGAGTAAGACCAGTAAAATTGTAAGAAACTGTATTTTTTACAGTCCCCGTGACCGAATACCCAAAGACACTGTTCTAAAACATTAAATTATTGTCATGTGATTTGAATTTTTCTGCCTTGAGTAATTCAAAAAATACCTCACAACCTATAAGTAAATTGATTTTACTTGGAATTTAAAATGTAGGGTCAGCTAATTTTAATTCGCGAGGTATACAAATATTAGAAATGTCAATTTTCTTCACAGGTGTTAATTCTGTGAATTTAGGTAGCACAAGAAATGATAATGTTTTTGAAAAGTTATCCGTTCATCATTAGAAATTTTTGCTATTACTTTATTTTTAATAAAATATTCTCCTCGGTTAATTCCTGAAATACAGGAATGAAAATTTTTTCTTTAATCCCAAAATATCTGAGCCACTTCTTAGTATGTGCATATAGAAACAGAACTTCCGCTATCTAAAATTGCTTTTACTTTTATTTTTTCGCCAAATGAATTCTCAATAAATAACATCCCAGTGCATAGAAGACTGCTTGATGGTAGACAACACTTATCCACATCTGTGATTAACGAGGTGCCTGTAACATTTTTATTTTGATTGATTGGCAACACCATATGTAATGTGTCATCATTATGAGTGGGAACTATCTTCGAGTTATTTATAGGTTTTATAGGTTTATAAAACGAATGTTTCCACAACCTTGAATTGAATACATCGAGAGGTACTTTTATTAATTGTCGAGGGGAAATATTTATGAAGCAGTGAATGGTGATTAGATTTTTTACAAAACAATACAAACTCTCTTAGAACTTACAATCATAAACAGAATGGCGCTTACTTAAGCAATTATTACAGAGTTTATTAGTTTTAACCAAATCTAATCTATGTCTGTTAATTTCATTTCTTTAAATTTATCACAGTGATATAATGGATGATTAGTTTGGGTTTTACAAGCTACACATATTTTAAATGAATCATTAGAATTGACAATAAAGGTTTCCGACCGTTTGCAAATGCGCTTAGATGGAGTGTTGATGTTAACACTACTTAGAACTTGACACCTTCTTTCTAAAAATTGTAAAAAGTTATCAAAATCTGGGACTTCATTGTCCTTTAACGTGAATTCAAAACGTTTTCTTGTTTCTCTGTATATTTTTTCGAGAACAACATTTAATAACAAGGCATTAGAAAATTTGTCTTTCGAAATCTAAAATTTTCAGCGATCTCTGATTTTTATTTATATTATCTAGCAAGTTTCGAAGCTCCTTGGCTGACTCATGTTTGATTGCTTGAAGACTGAGAATGTTTTTAATGTGACAGTCAACAATAATTCTTTTGTTTTCGTACATTTGTTTTAGAGCCTGGAATAAGGAATTGTAACTGTCATCTGAGGTTTCTATAATTTTTGCTTCTCTTTTTAGTGATCCATGTAGATAATGAAGCTTTTCGATTTCAGAAAGCTCTGAATTTTCGCCATTTAGACTAACAAACTGACTTTTAAACAAGTTCCACTCCTCAAATTTTCCAGTGAAAATAGGAAGAGGGATTTTTGGAAGTTTTATTGACATTAGCTTCAACTGATCGTTATTGCTCGAATTCAAATAAGTAGAACTGTCAGTGTTTTGATTTAGATAAGCAGAATTATTTTCACTAATTTTAAGCTTATTAATCAAAGTTTTTAGACTTAACCTCTGAATTTTGCAAGTCTACATCTATCTGTGACAGCTTTTTTTTTTTCAATTTCTTCAAAATCTTTTTCACTGATGATTTTGTAATATTCTTCCTTTAGAACATTGAATTTTTCTTGAAGTTTTGAAATCACATCCAACTAAGCTTGTAGCTCTGAGATATTTTTATTATCCTCACTCCCGCATTTTCGATTCAGCATTGTAATGGCTGATTCAGTCGCCATTGTTCTTAAGATTTGAACTGCTTAACTTAATGCACTGGTAAGACCTCCGGGTCGCTAGGACCAAATGTTACGGAGGTTTGATTATGAAATAGTGGACTGTAGTTTAAAAAAGGAATTTATTATCAATGCACAGTTAGCACTGGACAAAATTTTTACACTCCTCTAGTTGCTGGAGCTTGAGCAAAGATACTATTGATACATCTACCCCGCTAGAGGGCACACCTAGTTATTAGTGGTGGCACTACGATATACATTACGTAACAGTCCTAATGCAGACTTTGGATCAGGCTTCTAGAAACACAATAAACACAGCTAACAAAATGTTAAAGCAAATATAGGTAATTCTAAGAGCTCAAGGTAAACACAAAGGTCAGCTTGCTGCCAAAAGCTGACTTTAAGAATTCTGGTCTTGTATACACGTTAACTAATTTGTATGCTGTGAGGAGTTAGTGAATGTAGAATTGACAGTGACAGTAAAAATTGTAAGGTAATGTGTTTATTAGCATAACCCTTATAATTTATACATGAAAAACAGAAAAGTAAGAAAAGATATTTATTTAAAATTAATAAAAATAACATCATTGACCATAATCTAAAGCGTGAGGGGGGAATCAGTGTATAAAGCTACATCATCAAAATCTAAAATTAAATTAAAGATTATTATCAATTTTAATATTTATTATTAATTATGCTAAGAATGTGTTATAAACTTTTATATCTTTTGTTGTTTTTTATTGTGTGGTTGAAAATTTTCTTTTTTGTGTACTGACAAGTGTTAACATTACAGATCAGTGCAGTAGAATTGTTGTCTGCTGAAGGTGTAAAATCTAATGATCTTTTGCAAAAAGAACTTACTAGCCAAGAGTGGCAAAAGATTTATGACATGAGTCTGGATAGAAATCTTTATCAAAATTTAATAAAAAGTCTTTTCCCTACAATACATGGTAAGTTTTGCCGTTACTTTGATCTTTTTGGTTTTATTAAAAGATTAATTACTTCAATAAATGCTTATAAAATCTACTCTGTGCGTTTTGGGGTTAATATTATGTCTGGAAATTTTCACTTCATGATTGCATAAAATACATTAATTAGAATTCCTAAAATTGTAATTAATGAACTGGTTAAGAAATGGTAAGTCATTTTATAAAGATGAAACATTAGTTTTTTTGGGGGGGGGGATTAAAGTGCTAAAAGCTTTATTTAGATTTTATCTGGTGCATGTATTTTCTCTATTTTTTAACATATGATGTTAATTTATCATGTAAAAGTGATGTAATGTAATCTCAGTAATAAATTAATAAATCTCTTTTATTAATCTATTGATAATAATTTATGTATAAGAGATATTTGATTTTTGGGAAGATTTTAAATGGCATCCAAAATTTGTATGCTTTTCTTTTAATATTCATTTCTTTTTTTCATTTGATCATAGACTTTATATGCCATGTATGTATAAATTTTTATATGTTAACATTTATGTTAATAGAAATAATCATATTACAGTCAAAGACCAGAAATCTACAATGCTTGGGGCCAGAGGTTGTGTGAATTACAGGACAGAAAAGATATAAATCACAATATTTAGATTAAAAGAGCATTATAAATAAGGGCATTTAAGGACAAACACAATAGAGACAGAAAATAATAAGGAAGATTAATAAAGCTTTTTTTTTAACATGTTTCCAATATTTTTCTGACAGAGGTTTGTTTTAAAACTTTAGATGCTCTAGGGTGTTTTATTCTGCAGCATCTTTATCTCCCGAAAGTGTTTCCCCACAGTCTTTCAAGTAACGTATACCATGTCTCTGCTAAAAACTTGTTCAGCAACTGCTACTGAAATTCCACCTCTCCTCTATTTTTTTAATCAGCATGAATCTGTTTTTTCTTATCTCTCAGGAGTGTACCTGAAATTGGTCACCCATCACTCCACCACTGCTGGAACCACCCGTAAAGACATCATTGAGGTTTGCCGATTTCGTCTTATGGAAAGATTTGAGGTTTTGAATTGTGGTGTTAGAATCATTGTTGCTGCAAAATTTCAACATATTTTCTTTTTCTTTCCATATATTGTATATGGTCCATGTCGCATTTCCGTACGATTCTGCTGTAAACCAAGTAGTAGCACCTCCCTCCATCTTTTGCAAGATTTCCCCTCTCTGTATTACCATATCACCATCAATGCAATGCTTCGTTTTTCAATGTTGCAAGCAGTAAAATCATGAATGCATTTCTTACCTGCCATTGTATTAAGAAGTGCTATAATTAAAAATATTTTATCTACAAACGATCTAGATAAAATGACAAAAAACTCAGAAAATACAATCACGTGATTTTTGGATTTGGAACAGAAGTTGAATGAATTAACCTTGATGTAGATTGGAGGGGGGGGGACTTTTACTGTGATGTTAATGATTCAATAAGTATCTTTTTTTTTTTTTTTTTTTTTTTTTTTTTTTTTTTTTTTTTTTTTAGTATTTTGTTCTCTATGTTTGGTTTCCTGAACCTATAAACTGAATTTACATGATTTCAGGTCGGCAGACTTTCAGTATTTGACTGTATTATAATTGAGTGTAATTTATACTTTAGAAATACTTAAGTATATATATATATCCTAACAGCATTTTAAAATTTTCTGTCACACTCTTTTTTTTTTTAGGAAATGATGAAGTGAAAAGTGGTATCTTGTTAATGCTGTTTGGAGGTGTGCCAAAAACAACTGAGGAGGGAACATCTCTTCGTGGAGATATTAATATCTGCATTGTAGGGGACCCAAGTACTGCCAAAAGTCAGTTTTTAAAGTGAGTTATCTACTGACTGATTTTCTAAAGTTTATAGTTATTAAATTAACTTTTTTTAATCTGTCTCGTACATCATAGTGAGGTTTCCAGCATGAATTAATAAACTGGTTGCTATCTTGTGTACTTCAGTCAAATATTATTCCAGAAGTAAGCTATGAAAAAATCTTATCAATACACGTATGTAACAGCATATAAAGCAACATGTTGAAATTCGAATGCCTTTCTTTGAAATAGTTTTCTAATCTGAATATTTCATATATGTATTTTACAAATAATATAATTATGTTATGTAATTTATAAATAATGTAAATTTTTGCATTAGAATTGTATTAATTTGTAGAATATTTTTTCTTTATTTTTAAAAAATGTTTAAAATTGGATTAAAGTCAACATCTGAGATTTGGCTTTTAAGTCCTTTTCCATTGAATGAAATTCCATATAATAATTTTAAAGCTTATCATTTTGTGATTATCGTTGTTTTTGCAGATTTTATGTAGAATTAGTAATCAGAAAAAAAAAAAAAAAAAAAAAATTCAAATATGCATGAGACAGATTAATGTTGAGTTTGTGTTATCTGTATTTTATGAACATATAGTACACAGCCTGTAATCACAAAATTTCTAAAATGAATAAAAATAACACAAAACTTGAAAAAATTAAAATATTTTAGAATGAATTTTGAGAGAGTGGCAACTTCCCTTCTTCAAATTCAGACGTTTCTATCTTGAAATGTATTAATGCTTTTAATTATTAAATATATATATATAAACCAGTCTCTCTGTTTTATTATTTTAATGTGTTCTTTGTGCTGCTTATTTTATAGGCAAGTTTCTGAGTTTTCACCCAGAGCAGTTTATACCAGTGGAAAAGCTTCCAGTGCAGCAGGTCTGACTGCTGCTGTTGCTAAAGATGAAGAATCTGGTGAATTTGTTATCGAAGCAGGGGCTTTAATGTTAGCTGATAATGTAAATTGATTTGATGGTTTTTTTTTTTCCCTATTTTTGACTACTTTATATTAAATGTTTTTGTAAGAAATAATATTTAATATTTCAGGGCGTTTGCTGCATTGATGAGTTTGATAAAATGGAACTGAAAGATCAAGTTGCCATTCATGAAGCTATGGAACAACAGACAATATCTATAACAAAAGCAGGAGTGAAGGTGAGTTTCATATTAAGATTTCAAGATGTATTAAGTGAATGAGCTAGTAAATGACATCTTTCAGATTAATTTGTTTTAGGATTTCAACAACTGTTTTGTTATTTTCTAGATCTTCTAAGAAATGTTTCAAAGTTCTAGATTTTAGGTTAACTATTTAATAAGTTAAATCTATAGATTTTTTTACCTAAACCTAAACCTCTGCTTCACTGTTGGTGTGAATTTTTAAGAATTATTACCAGTTAGCTCTAGTATGCCGGTAAGGCCGTGTAAGGCCATTCGCGGTAGTTAAAATTTTTAATGTGTAAGAACACCTCACCCGAAGGTGCAAAGAGAGACTTTCGATGTGCGTTGTATGCAATTCAGTCTGCCTGTGGCAAAGTGTATTAGCTGTTCGATGACATAGTCTTGAAAGTCCTCAATCATAATGACTTAAGTTTCTACAGTTGCAGATTAATACTCTGATTCTGCTATCTTCATCAATGTCATCGCAGCTTGGAAACCTGCTATTAATTTTCCTACTGTCGTCTCTGCCGATCTTATGTTTTTTATTTGCAAAATGATAGTTCTGAGGAAATTATTAATTTTTCTGGTCAGTTATCCATTCCAGAGCTTCTGTTGCGTCTGCTGGGGAAGGCTTCAGCTTCGTCTGCAGTCTACTTGTTGAGCTAGGCTATTTTAATTTTTTTTTTTTTTTTTTTAATTGCATTGAGGTCAGATGACATGGAACCTCACTTAATCAAAACCCGTACAGTCGGGGTTCTACTGTATGTAATAAATAATAAAATAAGGAGGCTTTAAAAATTAATCAAGTGTTTGTTTGATATGTGAATTTAAGTAACTTTAGTACAGATTGCTTATACTTTGTTGAATTTATGAGTTATGAGCATTCAGATCGTAACAGCCGCAAGTCAAGAAAGAGCCTACTCAGAAGCTTGACTGCCTTCCTTTACTTTATGTCAATCGAACTATTATAGTAAAAGCTAAAGGTAGAAATTTCTCCTGAGTGTTAACGAAGTTTATGATTATTGTAGAATTCTTGATCGATCCTCATTATAATTTAAAATGGATAGAAGCTATAGTTTCTATCCATTTTAGTGGTAAATATTTATTTCTAGTCTAAAAGTGTTTCCTATATGTTTAAATCAAAGATTAAACCAATTTGTAATGCTTAATTTTAATTACTGAATAGGAAAAAAAAATTCTTAAACTGCATTTAGAATTTTTTTTCAATATTGTAAACAAGCTATGCTAGTGCAATAATGTATTATTTGTTGTAGCTGGTAAATCTTACTACTTCTAGAATTAAAGTTCTTCAAGTAGTATGGTGGTTGTTCTGCTGCTTATGGGTCTGATTTAGTCCTTGCTTTAGATTTCAACATTTTTTTAATTAACTAGCTCCACTAAGCCCTATTAAGCCCCTAATGGCTTTACAGGTAGTTCGATCAGTAATTGCTAGTGCAATGCAAGAAAGTGTGTCACTTCCATGTCCGTTTAGTCTCAAGCATAAATCTGATGAAGAGATATCATATATGATACTAGATGGTTTTCCTATCATAATCAACCAATAATCTATCTGTGTGTGTATTGGATGCCCGGATTTCAGACTTTGTCCTATATTGCACTTCTTTATATCTAATTAGAAGTTTAATTACTCTTAAAACCTTCAATATGTGGCAACTATTTAATAAGTTAATATAGGGAAAAAATCATGATAATATTTTTTATATAAAAAAAACCCTTTTATACTCTGGTTAGCAGTGATTTTTAACATATATGCATGTTACGAAATCTTGCTATATGTCTATACTTATAAAATAATATTTTGTTTAATTTGTACTATTCTACTGAAGATCAGTTTTTTTCTGCATTGACAAACATTGGAGATACTTTAGGAAATGAGGTAATTTATATTAAGCAGAATGAACTCAATCCATTAACAGCAAGAGGGCTTTGGATGACTTCAAACATCTTTTTTAAGAAAGTGGAAATAGCTGGTGATTTTATTCCAAGTTCAGTGCCAGTCTTCCTGAGTTTTTACTATTCAGCAGAATGATGGTTTTCCTTGCCAGTTCTATAAGGCTTTAAATGATAGATTTGGGGATCGTTCATTGACAGAAAATTCCCATACTGAAAATTTTGTCTGCTGCTTAAATGAAATACATTATTGTAAAAATGTAGCACCTATTGACAAATATCCATGCTAAATATTATTCATACAAATATTCATGCTGAGTAACATATGTATGTTTTCTTATTAATAGAATATATAGTGGAACCTATATTAATAATTATTTAACAGAGAGAGGCTTTTTTCTGAGAAATTGAAATTGTTGAATAAGAAGGAGATTGTAATAAATAGAACATTTCCGGCAGAACTATTAGTGTTGATGAATTTGCAGGATTTCTAGATAATGATTACAGTGAAAATGTAAAAAGAATTACAGTGAAAAAGAAAATAGGATATGTAAAAAGAATTCTCAACTATTGCAAAAGTATTTAGGAGATGAAAATCCTCTATCTGTTCAGATTTTTGTTTTGAAAAGGTTTTGCTTCAATGAAAGACAAAAGCAGAGGCAAGTTATACTTTTATCATGTTGTGGAAAGCTATAAATATAAACAAAGTATTTTTTAAAAATTTCAGAATTTTTTACTTATTTTAGTTTTTGAGTGCTAGTCACTGATATATATTTTTTTAACCCTATTCTCACATCATTTTGAATTTCAAACTGAATTGCATCAGTTTTCAATTATGCATTTCTTTTGTTTATGAATTGTTTTTGATTGGCTCTTAGCTGCAGCATGTAAATGAGACATTGTGATTAATTTTGATCTGTGCATGAAATGTGTTAGTGCTTGTATTCATAATATTGCTGCAGCATGTAAATGAGACATTGTGATTAATTTTGATCTGCGCATGAAATGTGTTAGTGCTTGTATTCATAATATTGTGAATACAAGCACTAACACATATAATATTGTAAATATTTATGTTCTGATCAGCTGGATATTTTTATTCTTTATTTAGGCAACATTAAATGCTAGAACATCAATTTTGGCAGCAGCAAATCCTATTGGTGGTCGTTATGATCGTACAAAATCTCTAAAGCAAAATATTGCTCTATCAGCTCCAATTATGTCCCGGTTTGATCTATTCTTCATTTTGGTGGATGAATGTAGTGAGGTAGATATGCATGTATATTTTTAACTTTATTACATTAATGTTTAAGAAAAAATTTATATTTTTGAATGCACTTGTTACACATCCTTAAGTATGAATATTAAAATTTGCTTATTTTTTTTCAGAATTTGTTTTTGGATATTTTTTTAATATACATTAGCAGTAGACAATTTCAGTATATTTTAATTTCTTGAAAATTTTTATTTCAATTTTGGGTTGAAAAAAAAAAAGATTTCTTTTTTAATGCATCAGTTATTGTTTTCCAGTTTAGGAGCAGAAAACATATTTTTTAAAATTATGTACAATTTTTTTATAAAGTTTAAGCGGTTTGTTGTATATGATATAACAGTATAATTAATATGTATAATTGTGAAATGTGATGAGTGTTATCTTAGATTTGGAATATAGGTTAATACATAAGTCTATAACTGTCTATTTTTAGCTTTATATGTGTTCGGATATACAGTTTTTGGTAGTAGATAATTTCAATATATTTGGATTTCTTGAAAATTTTTGTTTAAACTTTGGATTGAAAAAAGATTTTTTTTATGCAACCAGTTATTTGTTGTGCAATTTAGTAGCAAAAAACATATTTTTTTAAATCATTTGCAACTTTATAAAGATTAAGCATTTTGTTTGTATATGATATAATAATAGCATCATCAATATGTATAATTGTGAAATGTCATTGTGTCTATGATTTTGGACTATAGCTTAATACATCAATCTATTATTGATAGCTATTTTTAGCTTTATATGTTTTTGGATATAGTTTTTGGTGCTCTTGCATTATGCACCTACCATGCAATTTGGCAGTTTTTGTAACTGTAAACAATTTCTAAATATAATAACCGCTTATACGAGGGCTATCCAGAAAGTAGATTACCTTTTGGAATAAAAAAATAAACAAAGTATAGGAAACAAATTTTATTATATACAGATGAAAGCCACACTCAAATACTACTTTTCTACATAGTCACCATACAAATTAAGGCATTTATCGTAGCGATGTACGAGCTTGGAAATTCCTTCGTCGAAAAATTCGGCCGCCTGCGCCTTCAACCACTTCGTTACCTCTTCTTGCAGCTGTGCGTCGTCATCAAAACGCTGCATAGCCAGCCACTTCTTCATTGCTGGGAATAGGTGGAAGTCGCTCGGTGCCAGGTCGGGACTGTACGGCGGATGAGGAAACAACTCCCACTTAAAAGATTCAAGAACTTTACGAGTGACATTTGCCGTGTGGGGCCGGGCGTTGTCGTGAATCAACAAGATCTTAGAGCTCAACATTCCTCTGCGCTTGTTTTGAATTGCTCTTCTGAGTTTTTGGAGAGAGTTTGGCAATACCTTTGAGAGTTTATTGTAGTGCCTCTTTCCAGGAAGTCCACCAAAATTACACCTTTTCTGTCCCAAAAAAACAGTCGCCATCATCTTCCTTGCCGACATTGTTTGCATGCATTTCTTGGGTTTTTGGGGAGAACTTGTGTGCCCCCACTGCATTGATTGCAATTTCGTTTCACAGTTCACATGTTTCACCCATGTTTCGTCACCAGTAACGATGCGATCGAGTAAAGAGTCACCATCCTTATGGTAAGCGTCCAAAAAGTTCAACGCTGCAGCCATTCGCTGATTTTTGTGGTCCTCTGTCAAGATTTTTGGAATCCATCTTGCACAAAACTTGTGGTAACCAAGCTTTTCGCTGATGATTTCGTGCAACAAACTTCGCGAAAATTTGTGGAAAACTCAAAGAAAGTTCCGTTATTGTGAAATTTCGATTTTCACGGACTTTAGCATCGACTTTTTCGAGAAGTTCGGCGGTCACTATGCTGGGTCTCCCACTTCGATCTTCGTCGTGAACATTGGTTCGGCCATTTTGAAATCTTATGACCCACTGACGCACTCCACCTTCAGTGATAATGTTGTCCCCATACACTTCACGAAGCTGCCGATAGATTTCTATCGGTTTACAGTTTTTTGCAGTCAGAAACCTTATTACTGAGCACAGCTCGCGGGATTTTCAATTAACGCAGACATTTCAAACCGTCACAGTATCTGAACGGAGCACAGCACGAACCTCTCACTAGCACGGCTAGATGCAGACTGAGCTGCGCAACGCTCTGACCCCAAGATGGCCGCGCTAGCCCCACCCCTAGCGGACACAGGCGGAAACGTAATCTACTTCCTGGATGGCCCTCGTAGTTATACAACATAACAGTAAAACACCGATTTTTTTTTTTTTTTTTTTTTTTTTTTTTTTTAAGCCCAGAAGGGCTGTTAATTTCGTTTTGGCATTTTGCGTTGATTTCCTTTTCAAACTGTTGGATTGCGATAAAACAACAGTACCAGAGCCATCCAATTTTGAATAAGAAAATCCTCCTCTGAATATGGTCATTTAGAAGCCCTAATTTGGAATTTATTTTATTATAGATTTCATATTTTGTAACACTTTAACGAATTTTTGATTAACAAACTGAATGTTTTCAAAGCGAGCAATACCAACTCTAAACAGATTTAAAAAAAAAAAAAAAAAACACCTATCGCTCGAGATTGTTTATTGTGAATCTTAGAAATTCTAAAGATATGCTCATTTAAAAATTATTTTGGGATATTGCTGTTGAGTTGAATTTTAGGGGGTTTAAGTGCAAAGATTATATTTAATAAATAAAGCTAACACACAAAACCTTTAAAAAATGCCCCTTTGGGCCTAATGTAAAATCAGAAATTTCAAATTTTTTTAAACAAATGTATTACAATGAGAATGAAGTTTAAAAAAAAATTATGGTTAAATGCATTTTTTAGAAACCATTAATAAAATTAACATGCTCAGATTTTGTATTTATTTATTCAGTTTTTGTATTTCTTTAATATATATATATATATATATTATTTATTTAGGTTACTGATTATGCCATAGCAAGAAGAATTGTAGATTTGCATCAGAATGCGACAGACTGTATTGAGCGTGTATATACACTAGATGAAATATTAAAATATATCTCATTTGCTCGTCAATTTAAACCAAAGGTAAAGTTCATCTCCTTTAACAGAGAAGAGTTATTAATTCTACTGCTGATGTAGTTGAGAGGAATTTTTAATAGTTTTATAAAACATATTTTTAAAAATAACTTAATTTTACTTAATTATTGATTTTCAAATCTTAAGAAATATCGATTTCTTAAGATAATTAAAAATAGAAATTTTAAATGTTAATTATTTACAATTTATCTAGCATGCAGTTTGCTTTTTATTAGTATTTAAATGCTTTATTTTTTTTAAACTCTAATCAGATTTCTACTAAAATAACTGTTTGCTTCAAAAAGATAGGCTATTACTTTTTTCATTATAAGTACAAATTAGAAATTAAGGCCAAATGCATGTGCTTTGTAATGCTGTTATCTAATTATATATTTGAGAGTAACAAATGGGTTTTATTGAAGACAATAAAACTATTTTTAAAATTTGTTTTGTATATGCTGATAATGACCTTTATTTATTTGTATCTGTTGCTTTGCAGAAGTGTATGATTATAATTTATAAAAAGAAAAATACAGTAAAAAGAAAAATACAGTACAAAGTCCGTAATCCGGACTTGTCGGGACTTCGGCGATTCCGGATTATAGATCATCAATTTAAATCTGGTAAGATAGCATGCAGGGATTATACAATTAAAAATATGAAACCATAATTTATTATGATCTAAAGAGTATCAAAATTTACAAAAAAAAAAAAAAAAGCTTAATATATATTTGTTTACTTTATTAAACATTTCTTTCAATGTAATTTGATTTGGTTGCTTCGTTTTTTGTGCTAATACTTTTTCTTTAATTCTATAAACAGACATAATTTTTTGTTCAGTTACAGAGTTCCACTGTTCAAGTCCTGTAATTGCTGTGTCGAGAATACCGACTAACTTCTCAATCAAAATTTTTTCGTTTTCAATAATATTTCATTTTCTCTGTCACTTTCTTTACTGTCGGAAACGCACACGGGTAAACGCTTTACTGGCTTTATGCGCATGTGTAAGTTTGTGGCTTTGAGGTCTGGATTATAGATCATTCCGGATAATGGACGTCCAGATTACGGACTGTTCTGTATTACAAAACTATAACTATCAACTTTTTCATTAATTTGTATTCTTGAATTTAAAAGCAATAATTTAATTAAATGATTTCTGAATTTTTATCTACCATTTTAAAAAATTTTTATAGATAACTGAAGATGCGCAGAAATGTTTAGTGGAACATTATCAGAACTTACGAATGCGAGATGCCGCTGGAGTGACAAAATCATCATGGCGCATAACAGTTCGTCAGTTAGAAAGTTTAGTGCGTTTATCCGAGGCCATGGCTAAAATGAGCTGTAGTGAAGAGGTATTCCTTAAAATAAATTGTAGCTACTTTTTTTTTTCAAGGAGTTTGATATGCTTCAAGACAAAAAATGTATATTAATAATTGCCCTTGTTTTTTTAATAATATTTTTTTTTTTAAATTTTTGAAATGTTTGCAATATTCCTCATAATCAAAAAATATTAATAATCATTGCCTTAAACTGTATATATTTTGATTTATTCTTTCTTTTCTTCCTCTTCCGCTATTTTTTTTAAATGAATTCTTAGGTACTTCCAAAACATGTAAAAGAAGCTTATCGATTATTGAACAAATCCATCATTAGAGTTGAGCAACCTGATATCAATTTACAAGAAGAAGAAGAGGAGGATGCAATGGAAGTTGATGAAGATGAAGATGCTTCACAAAATAGTAATTTTTTAAAATTCATTTTGTTCTATTTTTATTGCAGCATTTCTAAAATAAGGAATAAAAGAAAATACAAATCCCCTTGGTGAAAAATTAATAATTCGTTCGTCATAGCTATGTATGTTTATATGTGTATATAAGTATATTCATTGAGACTGGTTGACCTTTTCATTTATTGATGACATATGTTTTGACATATTTATTGATGACATAATGCATTTTGCAGCAAGATACGCCACAAATATCTTGGTGCAAAATGCATTTCTTTTCTATAGAAGGTTTGCTCTCTCTCTCTCTCTCTCTTTTTTTTTTTTTTTTTTTTTTTTGTTTGGTTTGTTTGTTTGTTTTGTAGTTACGAAAGTGAGAGAGAGAATGTGACATGTCCAAGATGAAGTCTTCATTCAGAATGATTTATAGTTTTACTAGCAGCTTCGCTGCCAGCCTTCGTCTGACTTTTAAATGTACCGGGAAATGGCTTAAGGGAACACCAAAAGTTAAATTTAAAAACTGCATAGAATTTTACTCTGCAGAAAAACTTCATAAAAAAAAGTTATTACGTATAACAAAATTACAATGAAATAAGCAATATCCCTTAATACAAATATAAATTATCCTAATAAATAAATTAACCAACTTCCCTTTGAAAAATCTTAAGAACTCAAATGGTATAAAGGAGGTTAAGAACTTTGTTTCCTAAAAAAAATCACTCAAAACTTTTCAATATCTTAAAGACAGTGAAATGAGCAATAAATAACATAAAAGAATACAAAAAACAAAAAATTCTGAAAAGCAAAGGATAATTAATGATATTTTATGTTATATTTTCAAGAGAAAAAAATGTGCTACTTTGGTAGACGGTTGCACGGATTTTTGGGGATTTACATTGGCGCGGTTTTTACAGTCATCAGCCATCTTGAAAAATGCTGTTTCTACATATTTTACGCATATAGTAAAGTGTTCAAAACTTTAAAAAAATAAATATCGTTAAAAATAATGGATTTAATTTTTTGTTGAAAACGTTGTTTTTTAAGATGGCTGGTAAATAAATACATTTACTAAGAGTATAAAATGCTAAAGTAAGGTTAAATTATTACTTTCATATAATATAATAAAAACATTGCGCCAACATTTAATTGGATTAAAATATTACTTAAATTCAATATCGAATTAAAAATATCATACCATTATTTAATGCTAAAGTAAGGTTAAATTATTACTTTCATATAATATAATAAAAACATTGCGCCAACATTTAATTGGATTAAAATATTACTTAAATTCAATATCGAATTAAAAACATCATACCATTATTTAAAGGAATTAAAATATTACTTAAATACTTTAAAATAAGTTTTATAGGAATTAATTATTTAACATTAAAACATATGTGGCAATAAATATCTCAGGAATTTTTGAAAACATTGCATTAATTTTTTAATAAAAGTTGAAGTATACAATTATAAAGTGAAAAAAAAATTATGTACTTAACATTTTTTAAAAGTATTTTACCTGTCGTATATTGATAAATACCAAAAAAAAAAAAAAAAAAAAAAAAAAAAAAAAAAAAAAAAAAGAGTCTTCTAACGTTCTTCATCTGTACATCCTCACATTTCATTGAAGAAGCAATTAGAGGGTTTCCTCCAAAAATTTAAAATAAATTTCGTCTGATCCTTGTAACAATTTATAAATAAATTTTTGATTAGGAAAGCCAGTTAGGCCAAAATAAGGTCTCAAAGGGCAATTTTTTTATTCCGATACCAATAATTCTTGGTAATTACCAATAACAACATTCATCTTCGAAACGGACATATCCATTCCATTTGAAATCTGAGGAATTCGAAGAGATGAATAATAAAATTTTAAAATGGCGTGGTAATGCACAAATTTTCAGTAACCAATCAGGGAGCTGATTACATCACGCATAGAATTAAAATTATTAAAATAATTATTCATAATAAAATCATTTTTAAAATAAATGCAAAATTAAATTGTATTTCAATACTTAACAGCCTTAAATAATGTTTAAAACATTAGATTAAATTTATAGATATTAATAAAACCAATTACTTTTTCAGTAAGGTGACGTCATTGATTACATCATTCACAACATAAAATTATATAAAATATTATAAACAACAAAATTTTTATTTCAAATAAAAATGCAAAATTAAATTTATTTTTAATATTTAGAAGCCATAAATAATATTTAAAACACTGAATTTTTCATAATAAAGTGCATTATTTTAAAAATAAAATGACAACAAAGTATCGGTTACCATAAATAACTTATCCAGCAATGGGTTTACCATAAGTCGTATTACTCGCCAAACGAAAAATCGGCAAAATCCGTGCAACCGTCTACCCCCCCAAAAAATGACAATAAAAAATAATAATAAAATGAAATATGCCAATCTCTTAAAAACAGTGACATAAGAAATATGATGAAAAATTGTTGCCAAACCCATATTTCTAAAAGAATGAATAATGTGATTCAAAATAAAGCGATTTCATCAAAATCTATCAACAACAATAAGGAAAATTGTTGCCAAAAGGAAATTTTTAAAGATGTGAGATGTGAAAAGTGTACTCGGAAGCTTCATTTAAAAAATTTTTAAAAAATAAAAAATATTATCATTTTTCCAAAATTCTTTTTGTAAAAACAGTCGCAAGGATGAAAGTTTAACGTGTCCAAAAATCAAAGAAAAATAAACTATACATTTTTAAACATAAACTTTTTTTAGAAAAAATCCCGCTGAAAAGGTGTTAAGCTCACTTTGTTAAATAAATTCGTATTTAATCGATTTATTGAAACACGAAATTTATTTTAAGTTCGTAAAATAGCTAAGTGCCTACGTTTCATGAGGATGTGAAAATGGAATGCGTAGAGTAAAATCTTGCTTTCCTATAGCCCATTATGTCTCAAAATTACGCGATTTCGTCACAAAACATAAAATTTTTAAAAAATTCGAATTTCGAAAAAATCGCTTCGAGGTGCACTGGCTGTTGTCTAGATGCACCTATGTACCAAATTTCGTAGCCGTGGGTCTATTAGCTTACGCACAGAGCGAACGAAAGACACACACACAGACAGACTCTTTTTTTTATTATATATAGAGATTTTGCTTGGTTAATAATAACTTTCTAAAATTATTATTGGCTGAAGAATTATGCAAGTGGTATCTGCATTAACATTATATGTAGAAATCATATAATATGGATTTTTTTTTAAATCATACAGTTTAGAGAGATTTATTATAAGCAATTACTGTTTTTAGGATTGAAAAAGAAATACGCAAATTATCAATCCATAGCCCATGGGAAATGGTTAAAGGACTATTGCACATTAAAGTCAGTATTTTGATTTTATATTTGAAAAACAATATTTTACATTATCTCTCTCTGTCTCTCTCTCTCTCTCGTACACACATGTGTATGTATACAAGATAAAAAATATATGAATCTCAAAATAATAATTTAAACTATCTGTAGCCCTTAATTCCCCCTCTGTATACTAAAACAGTAATAGCTTTTCTAGATTTCTATGTCACATGGCTTGTGTAATGCTAATAACGTAGCTATTTCAGAAACTTACTCAAAAATTGAAGAAACTGAAACTTTTCTCTTAATAAGCAACCTAATCCAAAACTTTCTCTTGGTGAGCCTCCATACTGGATAATTGTGGTGAGCCTCCATATTGGATTAACTGCACACTTTTGCTCTTTTCTTGCTAGGATGCTAGCCTCTGCCAGTTATTGTCCATTGTTCTAAAAATATAATCTTTCCAAAATTGTGTGGTGCATAGCACACCCACAATGATGATGTGAAATGAAAAAGAATGTGTCCTCAGAATTCATTATCCAGGAATTAAATTATGCATGGAATTTACGGCTATATTTGGCTTCAAATATTATCTTTTTGACAATGCAGTAAAGCGTTTCCAAGTTAAAATGCAGAGTACCATCGCCAATCCATAGCAGCTATCTCCAAGTAATCCTGTTACTATTTATATATGTGTATGTTTAATAAAATGTATAATAAATATGTAATAAAAAGACATAGCAGCATTCATGGCATAGAATGTAGAATGTTGAATCTGTAATGAATAGCAAACTTGGCTGTCAAGGCATATTAAATATTCATCTTTATTACTTGGTACTCTAAACGTGCCTATTCAAGAACATTTACATTTTTGATGCTGTTGCAATAGGACAAGAGCAGCAAGACCAGGTCTTAATGGGAACAGTGGTAGAAGCAAAAGTACGCAATTATCCAAAATGGCAGCTCACCAAGAAAAAAGTATGGGTTCAGATTTTGAATTAGTTATGTCATCAGCATTATTAAGTCATATGTATGGATTGATCTAGAAATGACACAGTTGAGAGAAATTCTGATGCATTTCAGGGAACATTCTTGTGGGGAATATAAAAATCTAAATTACAGATTTAAAGAGCTGTTGCTAATTAAGTTAGTAATGTATTAGAGATTTACTTTCTTATTTTATATTTTACATATTTATATAATTCTGCAGCACGAAATGAAGTAGATCCATCTTCTGAAAGGGAAAGACCTCAGAGACTTACCCTTACTTATGAAGAATATAAAGCTCTGTCAAATATTCTTATTTCATGTCTGCAGAAAGAAGAAAGCAAATGTGATGGTAAGTTGACTAATTGCTTGTAATTTAATTATTAAACATTGTATTTGAATTTATTAAAAGCAAATTATAATTATGAAGTAGTTTTTTATTTATAATTTATCATTAAAATGCATATTATCAAATAAAATTGTATATAATTGGAGAAAATAGGTAAAATTATTATTAACTATAATAATTTTGTTGATAAATATTAAAAATGTAGTGTATATCATAAATAATAATATTACGTTTAGTTATTTTAATTGCCTTTAATTGTTAGCTGTCTGTCATAGACAACATTTCACATATATATAAATATATTCATAATTAAATTTAAGTTTATAGTCTTAACAGTGATAGCACTAGATTTTTACTAGTCTATGCGTTTTTTGCTTAGTTACTATACACACACACAATTATTAAAATTAAGCACAAAATTAAAGGCATTCCAACCTTTAATCTTGAAAAGGATTAAAAATATTAATATTCATGCTATTCGGACTTACAAGTTTATGCATGAATATAAACAGTTATTTCTTTACTCTTTTTAAAAGAAAGACAGATAACCTATCTAATCCTAAGTAATCTAATCCAGTTTATTTAGAAGTTGAGATTTCTTTTACTCTGTATATTAGTAACTTAATATATTGTGTAGGTGGTGCAGGTATATAAAATTTTACTTAATTAAAGTGTAGTTTGTTTTATATGGTGCAAAAATTCAATCAACTTCATCATATTCATTATATTTTTTATATTTATTTGGGGTGCACAAATATCAAATGCAAATGCCTGTTACTTGACATATCCTGCCTTGGATGCTAAATGTTCAGCAACAACTGAATATTATGATAATCCATCCAACTCCTTTTATCAGATTAAATATGTTTAAATAAAAAAGAAAAATTCCTCACTTTTTTTAATTTCAAAGTTTTTATTGAACTATTTTTATTATTTTAAAATATCACGATGAATTAGTTTTTCAATAAAAGCATTAAAGCAGAAATTCTTTCCCCCCAAACCAAATTTGATAATTTTGCATTGGAAAAATATATTCAAAAACTTTTACTGCTATTTACACTGAATGGCATCTAACACAATCAGTGTTTATAATAGTACTGCTCATTAATTTCAAAATTATTTTAGGTAAAATTTGAGCAGAATAAATTTCATTGTTGTATAGCTGGATATTTGGCTTAAAATCAAGCAGTATGCAGTATTCCCCTAGTGGCCTTTTTCCAATTAGAAATAAGTATTCCATAAACAGTGTCTCCTTTCTCTAACAATTTCTTTATTCAAGAAATACTGGTGAGGTCAATTTATCGCTTTTTTAACACTGTTTATTTATTTAAAAAAAATGACTAATTGAAGCTTTTATAGACATCGCACTAGCAAAATTAAAATCGGTGGATCCAAGCATCGACCAATTTAGTAATGTTAGCAGGCTTATCTATTCTGTGAATAACAACAGTCATCTGTGATAACAAAAAGCATAGGGTCACAAAATCTACTTGAAGCATTTTGTGATAACATTTAAAAAAACTCAAACTTAGTCTTTAAACTCAAAGTCTTACTAGTGTATCAGATAACCATCCAACTCTTCCTCTACAGAGCCAGATTAGCTATTCCAAAACACTTTTTTAAATTGGAAAATGTTATTTCAGTTTATTTTTTAATATACTTTTATATAGATTTCATTCTTTTTTTAATCTGTATCTGAGCAAATACTGCAGTAGTGACTGCAATCCTGTTTCAAAAATCATGAAAACTGTCTTAGAATGAAAATCCAATATAATTTTTATAATTCAAAAGGGTTATGTGATTTGCATGCATTCACAGATATTTTCAAACAACTAAATTAGCGAAACAAAAAGTATAATGTTTTCAATTTATTAAATATTTATATTTCACAGAGTTTTCATTTTTCAACATTTAAAAAAAAATAATTGCTACTCTTTTTCTCAGGGGGGATTATTTCTGAGAATTGGCTATATTTCTATTTTTCTTTACTAACAACCTCAATGTTCAGTATCCTCTGCAACACATTTTGATGTAGACAATGACTTCACAGTTTGCCTTTCAAGTATTAGATTACCTGAAGGATGCATATTAACATTGCTTATAGGAAGAGAATGGTTTGATAGAACATAAAGAATTCTGGTAATGTATTCAATACATTATCCATATAAATTTAAGAGTAGGGTCCAGAAAGAGGGTTTATATATATATTTTCCCCCTGAGAATAAGTATTTTCAGTATCTAGCCTATCATTGTTCAAGGATATTCTAAATTCTGTCATAGTTTAACCTGTACAGTTAAATTCACTTTCAACAATGGTACATGGAAGCAAGATAAAAGACATCTAATAAATTTTGTCAATACTGGGTATTTCTGTTTTCCATCTTCCTTTTTGCTTTCCCCAAAGTTATCCTCCTCATTTCTGTATAAGACTAATGATTATCTTTGATAGTTTCTGTCTTCTTGATTGAACAAAAATTTTTTTCTGAAATTAAATTTAGCAGTTTACACACTATTTTCATCAATGCAATGAAACTAGTTGTTTTACCATGCAGAATAGTATTCTTGCTGTTATATTTAAAGATGTTAGAGTTCTTTAGGCCAAGGTGTTTTTTATTTATTATTATTTTATTTATTTATTTATTTTATTATTTTCTCATTAGCAATTACAAATATATAAAGGAGGTTATGTTTTTGGTCCAAAAATTCGACATTGACTTTTCAGTGAATAAACACAAATTAGGGGTAACTGCAATTAATTTTGACTATTTTTTAAATGATCTGTGGGTGTGCAGATTTTTTTCAACCACAATAAGTCTTGTATCAAACTTCCAGAACATAATCTAATTTATACATTTAAGCTTTCTGCATTTATATAAAAAACTTTTATATATTTTTTATATAAATGATTTTGGATAAAATTGGACAGTGGGATGTGGTACTTGATTTGAAGCCCACAACAGTTCGAAAATCTCTATTAAAATATATTTCAAAACTTCTTATATTTCGTATTTAAAACTTGTATATGATTGAAAACAACATATTAGGTTGTAACTATGTATAAATAATAAACTGGATGTATATTTTACGTGGAACTCTTAAGAGATTTTCATGAAAAAATATAGAATTCCTGTAATAAGTGTTTGGCAGACAAATTTGTCAAATTGTTTATCTTAATAATTAACTTAATATACATTTCAATTTAACAACGTAATTAACATTTACTGTTAATTACATTAATTATTATATTGATAGTCAGAACATCTTCGTATCAATTAATAACACCTATAGATTTGTCACACATAGGTTCCCTTAGTTTCACCTCTGTTTTTTCCATATGATCAGAATTTCATCGGGAAAATTGTTAATTGTTTCTAGAGGCATATTTATTATACTTCCTCTTTGCCTTAATTGTGCATTTAATGCCTGCAGGAGATTTATGTAAAAAGCAGCCATTCTTTCTTCGAGTGATGACAAAATTTTAACACATAGTGGCAAAATTGGAGATTTCAAATCATTGCTAGTTATATTTTTAGAAATGTTTAGTAGAGGTAATATAATTTAAACATTTCTTCTTGTTACAAATATTGTTACAAAAACATATGAATCATCTCATTTTCTTCTCATGATTTTGTGATTTTTCATTCATATCCTTCTCGTTCTTCATTACTAAATCATTCAGTACAGCTGATCATCTTCCATGACACTGATATGTCTTCAGTAATTTCTCTTTTATCCCATACATGCTTGAGAATCATCTTATCATCTGCTTTTTTCTTTATATTGGTAAACTCTAATTCAGAGTTGCCAACTCTCCCGATTTAGGCGGGAGACTCCCGATTTTCGACCACTCTCCCGCCAACCCGATTTACAATATATTTCTCCCGACATTTTCTTATTCTTAAAATTTCTCACGATTTTTATGCAACTTGGATTAATACTTTGTTATATGAATAAAAAAAAAGTGCTTTTGGACATCTGAAAGCAATTGAATTTTCTCTACATTATATCTAAAACAAAACCTTGCGAATCAGATAGCTTCTGCTTTGTGAGTAAGAGCATTATACGTATCCAGAAACATCGTTCTCCAGTTCTCCAATGGGCTTCGAGCTCCACTGCGTGTCAGCTAGCATATATTAGCCAATGAGGACAAAGCAAGTTGTTATTTGGTCGTTCTTTTAGTTATTTCGTTCATTTTGTCCTGAGTTGTGTGAGTACACGTGCCTTAGGGAAATAGTTTTAGAAATTATTATCTTTTGTTACGTCTGCGAGAAAGGTGAAATACTCGTGTATGTTTCAAAAATCGTACACAGTTGACTTTTCCTTCCTCAAGGAAATGTAATAAATTTGCGATGTGTACCGCCTGTCGTTGCGATTTTTCCGATTTCGTATGTTGGAAGAGCGGATGTTCTCAAACATGTGCGTACACAAAAACACAAGGATAACATGAGTTGTTTTGAAAAAAATGAAAAATTAAATTTTTCTTCGGAAACAAAGGACCAAAAAGTTATTAATGCAGAATGTCTGTTCTCTGCCTTTTTACTGGAGCACAACCTGCCACTGAATGCATCGGATCACGCTGCAGCTTTATTTAGAAAATTGTTTCCCGATAGTGAAATCGCTAAGAAATACTCAAGGTGCAAGAATCAAAACAGGTGCAATTGTTAAAGAAATGGGTTTTAAAAAATAAATCTTCAGTTATTGATTGCATTAAAACAGCTCCGGTCTGCCTCTCTAATGATGGAGGCAATAATACCGATTCAAAACTGTATCCAATTATTGTTTCTTTTTTGATCCAGAGTCTTCAGAAATTGAGTGCAGTTTACTTTATGTTCCCACTTTGGAAGAACATTTGACAGGCTTTAATATAGCACAGCTAATTATTAAAACTTTAAAAGAAAACTGCAGGCACTCTGGATAATTGCTTAGGCACTTGGTGCCGATAATTGCACCAGGTGATTGGTAGGCTTGGAAGGCTGGTGTTGCAGGCATCTTAAGAAAGGAAA